ATGAACCAGAGCCTCCACCAGCCCGAGCCCAGAAGAACTAGATGGTGCCCAGCTACCACCACAAACTACTCTTAACAGGGATCACAACAGACAGTCCTGGGTAGAGTGGGAGAAAAATATAGAATAAAATTCAAATTCACAATAAAAGACCAGACATACGGTCTGACAGAGACTGGAGGAACCCCCAAGAATATGGTCCCTGGATACCCTGCTAACTCAGAACTGAAGCCATTTCTGAAGCTCACTTCTCAGATTTGACAGACCTATAAAATAAATAATAACACACGTGAGGAACATGCTTCTTAGTGCAATAAAATATACAAGACCAAATGGGCAACTCCCTCCCAAAAGCAAGACAAGGCAGGAAGGGACAGGAAAACTGGACAAATGGGCACAGGGAACCCAGGGTGGAAAGGGGGAGAGTGCTGTCACATTGTCAGTATTGCAACCAAGGTCACAAAACAATATGTATATAAATTTTTGAATGAGACTTGAGGTGTAAACTTTCACCTAAAGCACAATAAAACAAAAGAAAAGTGGGGGGGGGGGGATTTTCCTTTTGGATTCTATAGAAGAATTCTGATCAAAAGGGGGAGAGTGCAAAACACAACTTCAAATTTTCATGGAAGTCAGACTTTCTGGATCCATGGAGGCTGGAAGAATCCCTGAAACCACTGCCCTGAGATAATCTTTAAGCCTTAAACCAAAAATATCCCCTAAAATCTTCTTAAAACCAAACAATAGCTTAGCTTAACTTGTAAAAAATGTCTGCCTTGAGCATTATGCTGTTTTAAGAACTATCTATATGGAATCAAATTGACAACAGCAACTTGAAAGATTAGATAGGAACCTTGGGGGGAGTGAGTTTGTGTTAATGGGAGAGCAGCAACTCAGAAAAGGAGAGTGAGGATGGTTGCACAACTTGAAGAATGTAATCAATATCACTGAATTGTAATTGGTGTATGTTTCTCTGTATATATTAACAACAAAATAAATTTGATTAAAAAAAAGAAAAAACTTTAACCCTTTCTTCTTCCATAAGTAACCTATTTCGATCAATTTGTTTTGTTATCCGACATGTTTCTCATTTTCTCTACTCCATATTTGGTCTTCCTTTTCTCACTTGAATTATTAACAAAATCTCTTGACTTCTTTCTTCCAACCTCTTTCCATGACACTGATACATGATTCTACACAAAGCTACTAGATTCATATACCTAAACATAAAAATTTAGTAGCTCCTATCATACACAATGGAGTCCTGGTGGCTCAGTGGTTAAGAACTCGGCTGCTAACCAAAAGGTCAGCAGTTTGAATCCACCAGCTGCTCCTTGGAAACCCTATGGGGCAGTTCTACTCTGTCCTATAGGGTCACTATGA